AAGATCCTGATATATCTTAGAGTAAAGCAAAATAGCAAAATACAAACGAAATTTGACGTGAACATCTTTACCTTAGGCAGAGATTCAAACACCTCCACTGGATCCAGTCCCCCTGGACCAAGTCTTGCTTGTCTTTCTTCCTATTTGTGCAAACGTTAATTTTGTAAGATATCGTATATCATATACGTCAGGGGTTGTGACGCAAGCAGTAATTTTGTGAACGATTTCTACAAATCAATAAAAATTACGAGATTCGCTGACATGCTTTTGAGAGAAAACACCCGAAACAACTACCTTTGAACAGAAAGATCATCTGTGAGTTTTCACTTTTCGTGCAAAACCTTGGTGAAGTTCGGTGAAGCTGAGACCAAAAGGTTTCATGGGAAAAGCGATAACAAAGAAAAATCACTTCCACTTAAGTTATTTTTAACTACAATTGGTCGCAGAACGGCACTAGTCAACAAATCACTCCGACAGTTATGAAAATTCCCATGTAACATTTCGCTCGCAGCGTCTATGTTCAATCATCTGACACACGTCATTCCATTGTCCTATATATAACAATGACGTCACGGCATGTTTACAAACAATGGAAATTGGACTTATTAAGATCACTCCCTATTACATGCAGTTTTGATGTGAACATATACAGTTTTTTGATACAGTCATTTTGTCTACTTCTGGCGACCATAATCCTTTGCGCTAACACAGGAGTATTACGTAATTATGCTATAGCAATTACAACGACTGTTCTATAGACCTGAAGATTTTACGTCAAGTACCGTATACGCAATGCACTGTAAGATATGTTAGGGACAAAACATGGCGGATTTCTTTTGTTTTCTTAGAAACCTATCCCACAATGCATTGCGAATAAAGTAGTGACGTCAAAGGTTTAGAACTCCATTCAGTGTATTGACAAAATAGTGCATGCACTGTGCATTTCACCTCTTCTGCTTCCTTCATTGCTTTCTCTATGCGAGCCTCAGCTCGTTCTTTCACTCTTTTCTTAAACGACGTAAGCTCATCATTGAATGCTTCCATGTACTCTGGGAAGTCAGACTTGGCTCGGACAATTCTGAATTGAAAGGTGTAATTATGGAGATCAGTGGTTCCAACTTATAGATATAATCTGTAAACAATCTGTAGATTCTTTGTACAATTTTGTGGAATTGTAATACAGTCATTAAACCCGTGAAACAAAAATTGACTATTAAAGTGTGATAGTCAAATAGAGACAAAAGAAAACAATGCAATTAAAAGCGTACAAATGTGTATTAATGTAATTTCTATTTCACGGTTTTTTTGACTCCACTCTAACTAAATGGTGTTCAAATTGAACGAAGATGATATGAAGGACGTTCCACGGCTTCTAATACAAATTTAGTACAAATTTGACGTCAAATGTCAATTCAGCTGAGCATATTGTCACTGTAATATATTGCAAACTATTGATAAATCTTACTTTGTAAAAAAGGACGGGACGGTTGCTTTGGGATCTGAATGGAGCTGTTTTGCGAGTTCCAAGATGTACTGGATTATGATACATTGATGTGCAACTCTCTCCATCAATGCCTCTTTCTG